GTGGTCATCTGCCAGGTCCCTCTACTGTAAAGTTCTTATTTTGAGTTTGAAATTAATAAGCAATTCATAGTGAGATATTTGACACCATATAAATATCCCATCTCATCCATTTTATAATTTTTAACCTCGATCCATGGTTTTCTAACTACATCATATTTTTTCTGGTTTTGACATTCTTTTCTTTTTTTTTTAGAGAGCCTCTCTTTTTTATTTTTGTTTTTCATAATCCTGGTAACCAAAATCCTTAACCTGTTGTCACCTGAGCCTGGAAAGCTCCCAGTTCCCTCCCAGCCCAGGTTAGCGCTATCTGCCTGGACCTCCTGACACCTGACCGGCCTGCATGCGCCTCCCGCAGGCCCAGCGACTGCCGGGCAGAGGAGAACCAGGCTGGGAAGCTCAGTGCCCTTGCCGCTGGCTGCCTGGGAGCTGCCCAGCCTGAAAGAGAAACTCCAGCGCAGAGATGCTGTACAGATTCAACTTTAAAAGAAAGAAAGAAAAAAAGCTTTATTGAGAGACTTACATATCATACATTCAATCATATTAAGAAGAGCTGTGTGATCACCACTGTGTCAACTTGTCAACAGTTTGTTCTTTCTGGTCCACGTTGTGGAGACTCCACTTTTTTTAACCCAAGGAAAAGGGTGATTTATGCAATTTCAACAAACACCATCAAAAACCCCATCTGCGAAGGAATGGGCAAGCAACCCCTGTACACGCACTCAATGGACTACTGCACAGCCTTCAAAGCGATGACGAAAACGAGGGTTGTACAGCTCTTCTTGATGGTCTTAGACTATTGAATTGTACAGTGTGTGGATTATGTGCCAATAAAACTGTACAAAATGAATAGTTCCTAGGGGAGAAAACAACAATGATGAGTCAAACACCTCATGACATGGACAAAAGTGGAGGACATTATGCTTGAAAAGGTTAGGTTTCTCTAGAGAAACAAAACCAGGACACTTAATGATTTTATATATATATTTATATATATACATTATGGGGTTAAGGGGGAGAGGGGACCCCACAAATCATCACAGGTCCGGTAGGCACAATTGTACAGCGATAATAAGTAAGGGTTATAGTAAAGTCATAGAGAGCATGAGAGTTAGAGGAGAGACTGGAATAAATGGAGTCAGACACAATTCATGGTAGCATTGTTCACCTCAGCCCCGCTTGATGGTCCTCTTGCGGGGAACCCGGCCACGAGAGCAAGAGCAGCCTCGGAACCCGAGAACCAGGGAGCCTCTCTTCTTTATTGCTAACCATGCATTATATCACTTTAGGGGGACATGATTACAGAATCACCCATCACAGGAAGGGGCAGTACAACAGGTTGTAGGAAGGGGATCTATGATAGGTATAAGCATAACAGGAAGGGATGAGCTAGGGGTGTACCCATCTTGACATTCTTATTTTAGGGGAGACTTTCCTTCCTCACTCCCCACTCCACTGTTGTGCCATTAATCCCTTTCTCTCTTCCTGTCATAACGAATCCTTACTCCAGTCTATGGATCACATGGCGGATGACAGTGCGTCATTAACAGTATATTTGTTTTGATGCTCAGTGGGCTCTGAGGTCCTCTTGCTACATTTCTATGGCTCTTTGTGTACTTCTTTCTGTTCCAAGGTCATCTGACCTTTCCCTACACTAGCCTGGAATCCCACGTCTCTCCAGGGGGAGACGTTTTCATGCAGCGAGGAATGGTATTAAGAAACCAAGATTTGGGCGCTTTGAGGCTTGTTGTTTCAAGCCCCCACTCCCCTTAATTTCTGGAACTAGGGAGTGATTTCCCAAATGGAAAAATATAAATTCTAGAGCACTTTTTCTTGAGATGTGGTTAAATTCTCCACATTGTAATCATTCAAGTTAAAAAAAAAATCTTGATAATGTAGAGGTGAACTAGAAAACTTTGTTTTCATAAGTAATTGAAAGCATTTTTAAAGGGCACAATGGTTTTACTCACTCAATTAAAAAGTTTGATGTTAAAAGTTGATGTTGACTGTGTTCGCACTCTCCCCTGAAGGGGAAAAAAAAAAGTTTGATGTAATTGGATCTTTGGGACATTATCCCTAAAGCAGCTGAAGTTTCAAACCTCTGCATATGATAGCGCCTGAACTTTAAATTGTTCAGGGACAACATGTATTCCCTTAAAACAACAAATAATTTAAATATAAGTAGTATTTTATTTTCTATCCCTTGGTATTTTTAGTTATGGAGACAGTAGCCCATAATTTTAAAAACTGAACTGTGCTGTGAACTTTTACATAAGTAGGGCTGTGCTTTTTCTTTGTGTCGCACATAGTGAACTTATAAAGTCCATGGAAGACATTTCTACTTGAAGCTGGTGGCAGCGTCTAGTCACCGGGACCATTTTTCTGGCTACTATTTTTAAACAACAGGAAATATCAAAGCCTGGGAAATACAGCTGATTTGAACCCTTAAAATGGCTTATGTCTGGCTTAAAGAGTAGCCTAACAATACATTTCTTTAAAATAATATTTTGTGACAAAATTGGATACTTACTAAAAAAGAGACTTTGTTAAATGTAAAATTGTGTAGGTAGAGAAAGCCACAAGAAACAATCTAATGAACAATGAGGAAGAATCAACCATTCTAATGGAGGAGAGTGGAGCTCTTGGGAAGAAAGAAAAAAACAAAACAACCAACTCTGTACGCCTAGTTACTGAAGAGGGAAATCATGCCGACAAGTATTCCTGCCACGATAAAAGGGGCATTCAGCATTACTGATAACATAAGCTGGCTGGGGGCTGATAACTAAAACAAACAAAATGGAAGTACTTGATAATAGGCTAGAAATGAGAGATCGCAGAGGGAGGAGACAAAGGTAACAAAATAATGTAATGGAAATAGTTTGAAAACTATTATGTTCCTTTATTGGGACATAATACATTGCCACGGCATTATTATTCTTATCAGTTGTGCCAGCTTTTAAAATCTGGAACTGGGAGATAGATGATAACTGAAATTGAGAACCTGGGAAAACAGACCAGGGAGAGGAACACAGAGACATTGTAGCATCCGCTAAGGAACGGAGGAGTTTGACTATGGAAGACAAGGCAAAAAGCAAGGACAGTGTGCCTGTGCAGACGGACAACGGAGGGGCTTTTCCAGCATGTGACTATCTGAGTAGAGAAAGCAGAGAGCCAGCAGACGGGGAGATGAAGGTGCCGAAGAGCATCGTAAATGCAGAAACAAGGTGAGTGTGCTAGAAAGATTTTTGTTAATAATGGGAAATGAAAAATAACAAAGCCATTAAGTGTCTTGCTTGTATGTTGAAAGATGACCCACAATCTTAACTTTCAATGAAATCTTAAGGTGGTTTTACAAGGGAATTTGACAGTTACATTTCCTAGGTAGTCATAGGTTTCATATATAATTTATTCTCTGTTCATTTGTGTTTTTCCTCACTGTCACTTTCAAATCTTTATGAAAACCTCTATGCCGAGGACAGGAATTGGGGCTGAGGCTCACACATTAAACCCGTTAATTCTCATTTTCAAATGCACTGTTTCCTAAATTTAATTGTAAAAGAACCAACTTTTTAAGTACCTGGAGCCTGCTTCTTAGATTAATCAGTATACAGCTCTCTGATTCTTATGGTAAAATTATGTTTTTCACAGTGAGATTAAGTTAGAGGTGGGTGGTGGTAGTGTGTTCCGAATTAAATAAGCATCTTTTTTTCTCTCTCTCTGTGTTCTCAGGTGAGATGAGGAGAAGTGAGCTATTACAATAACCACAAGTAAAGGAAAGAAAATGAAAGGAGAAAATTCCACCATTTGGAGCTTTTTTTTCCTGGAGGGGTTTTCTCGGTATCCCAAGCTCGAAGTCGTTCTGTTTGTCTTCAGCCTTGTAATGTACCTGATCACCCTCTTTGGCAACAGCACTCTGATCTTAATCACTGTCCTAGATTCACGCCTTCATACCCCCATGTACTCGTTCCTTGGGAATCTGTCTTTCATGGATATCTGTTACACATCTGCTTCCATTCCCACATTGCTGGTGAACTTGCTCTCCTCCCAGAAAACCATTATCTTGTCTGCGTGTGCTGTACAGATGTATCTGTCCCTTGCTATGGGCTCCACGGAGTGTGTGCTCCTGGCTGTGATGGCGTATGACCGTTACGTGGCCATTTGCAATCCTCTGAGATACCCCATCATCATGAACAGGCAGATCTGTGTGCAGATGGCCTCTGTCTCCTGGGTGACGGGCTGCCTGACTGCTCTGCTGGAGACCAGTTTTGCCCTGCAGGTGCCCCTCTGTGGGAATGTCATCGATCACTTCACATGTGAAATTCTGGCTGTGCTAAAATTAGCGTGCACAAGCTCCCTGCTCATGGACACGATCATGCTGGTGATCAGTGTGCTCCTCCTGCCCATCCCAATGCTGTTAATTTGCGTCTCTTATTTCTTCATCCTTTCTACTATTCTGAGAATCCGTTCAGCAGAAGGGAGGAGCAAAGCTTTCTCCACCTGTGGTGCCCACCTGACTGTAGTGATTTTGTATTATGGGGCTGCTCTCTCCATGTACCTCAAACCTTCTTCATCAAACTCACAAGAAGTAGATAAAATCATCTCATTGCTTTATGGAGTGCTGACCCCTATGTTGAATCCCATAATTTACAGTTTAAGGAACAAGGAAGTCAAAGATGCTGTGAAAAAACTGCTGGACAAAATAACGGTGTAGCAAACACATGACAAGCTCTAACTGGTTCCGTTGGCTGGGGCTGTGCCCCTGACAGAATTCATCAGGGGGATAATGCTTCTTCATTTGAACCTGAGCTGTGCAATTTCACAGTTCTGAGGTATTTGTACCTGGAGTGATTTTTGTTTGAGGACAATGATAGATTCCAGTCTGCACTTGTTTCTGGGTCCTGCCCTGCATGTGGGGGTGCCTCTTACATGTGAAATGTATTGGATACACAGTCATCACATGCTTGCTCTACAAGAAACCTGGAGTCGGTGAACGTCAGTGGCAGAAGGCACTGGAATATCTTCTCAGCTGGGAACATAAAGAAAAATACGATGACTTGGATTATGCAAATGAGAAAATAGCCTAAAAGAAAAATGTAAAGATTTGCTTACAGGTGTAGAACTGGGATTGCTACCACTACACCAATTATCTATTGTATGCATGTTTGTCTGTTTTCTTCCTTGGATGATAGGCTTCATGAAGATAAGGATTCCTATTTGTTTTATACATTTTGTGTTTACAGAAGTCATTCAGTACATGAATAAATTCATCAGATTTAAGTCAATCACATTATTTGAGAAGTCAGTACATGCATGAAATTTAGGTAAAGGAAACAACATGGACAATGAGGTATATTGCTTTATAACCATACAACAATAATAGCAACCAGATTTACATTAATTGTTTTTAATATTTGATTTCTAAAAGTATGATTTGTCCAGACTACAGATTCTGAGCCTCTACAGCCAGAGATTCTGATTTCTGGGTCTCGTAGGTCTGTGGTGGGGTCCAGTATCTGTATTTCAGACAGAGACATCCCATCCTTAAGAAATTCTCATATAAATGGTGAGATGTGCACACTTTTAGAAACCATCATGTCCAAGGAAATGCTACTACCCCAAAAGAAAACTTGCATTAATTCCTCTTTCTCCATTATTTTATCTTTTCCTTCATCTTCTCTGTTCTCACGTGCCTACTTCCATTCCCTTAGAAGAGCGGGGAGGTTTAGAGTGGACAAAGTAACGCAATGACATTTAAAAATATGACAGACTCCAAAAAAATATATATATATATGACAGATGTGCGATGCTTCAGGACTGGATGTTGAGCTTGGAATTATTTAATTCTTAGATCATTCCTTTAGATCTGGGGCTTCCATTACATATTGCTGGATGTGTAACTCACATATGAAGAAGTTTTGAATAATCACACAGTAAAACTTTGTTGAAGGAACATAGAAACAAATTTGGTACCTTGGCACTGCTCCCGAGAGAGTCTTGTTTATGAGAGATAGAAGCGAACCTGAGTAAAGGCTGTTGGAGTCGGAAGAACTGAGTCGGAAGCGCTCATCCTGGACAACGTTGTTTCTTTCTGTTGGATGCCTTAACTTCCCAACCCGTGGTCACAACCGTACTCGGGCAATTTCAGAGTCACCATTTGTGCTAGCAAATTCCAGGATGGGGAGAATTTATTTTTATGCTAACATAAAATTCAAGTGTACTTAATAAATGCCTCATAAAATGGCACTGTTCTCATGAAATGATGTGAGATAGGGAAGAGAGTGTCTTTGAAAATGGGCCAGCTTGTGAAAGGCCCTCTGGCAGAAGGAGGCATGGCACATGGCAGCCAAAGAAGGTTGACAAGGACATGGAGAACAAGGGGGAAAATATGGGTGATGAGAGATTGTAGAGAGGAGGCTGCTCCAGGGACCTCTTCCACTAAATTTGTGTCTGAACTGCTGGGTTTATCCCAAGTTTCACTGCAAGTGTATGGCTCTGCGCTGAAACAGTGTAAGAAAGACTGAGAACTGAACTACGAGGTAGATTGTTCTTTGCCTCCCAAATTTGCCATGGAAGGGCATACATCCAATGTAGATTCGAATAACAGCAACGTCTTTGAAAACTAATCTCATGGAAGATGTTTAGTAACTTGTGGCGACTGATCAGGTCAACTCCTCTTTGAAACACACACACACACACACACACACACACACACACAGTCACCCATAGTATTTAAACAAGACCCAGAATCTCATAATATTTTACATGTTTAAGGTGCAATGTGAAAAATCACCCCACAGACGAGGAAGCAGGAAAATCCTAACATCTAACAAAGGAAAAGAGACCAGTCGCTATTGTGATTGTCAATCACACAAAAGCTTCACAGCAGCTGCTAGAACCATGCTCCTAGAAGCAAGAGTGAACAGTCTTCGAATGGAGAGATAGAGAAACTCAACAAAGAAAGAAAAAAAAATTAAAGTCAGAAAGTACTATAGCTGCAATGAAGAAAAATGCATTGGGTGGACTCAAGAGGAGAATGTAGATTACAGAAGCATCAATGAACTTGAAGATCCAAAAACAAAAACCAAACTTGTGGTCCTCGAGTCCATTCTGCCTCCGAGAGGTTTTATGGGACAGACTAGAACTGCTCCTGTCAGATTCCAAGACTGAAATTGCTTGTAGGAGTAGAAAGTCCTGTCTTTCTCCCTTGGA